GAGTTTCCTATTCACTTGCTCACCAGAACATTGAAAGTTTAAAGACAGATCTTCGACCATTTGACGAAACGCTTACGGCAAATTTATGCCTTAGTCATGCCCTTTCTCTACTCTTAAAGCGTCAATTCTATAAATATATATGATATTTTAATATTAATGTTTTCTCTTGTGTTAAAACCTGCAAATATGCCTGGTCGTTTGACTTCCGTTTCCATGCTCGTTGGGTATGTGACTGATTCGTGATGTTCAGGAATGACTGCTTCATCACTGTTTTATTAATGAACACTGTCCGTTGTTTAAAAGAATCAGTTTGACCCAGGTTCGATTCAATCCATGAGAATGCAAAAATGATTATTTAAAAGCAACAACTTAAATGGATGCTTCTTGTAGAGTGTCACACTACGAGAATTCACTACCAATACGATCGGTCGATTGTGTTGCTCAGTGCTATCTTACGCCAGCCTCATGACGCGAGCGGCATCGAGTGATGTCTCATATTTCTCTTCAATTTTCATTCACTTTCCTTTTACGAGCTATATGCAAGTTGCTGCGCTGGAGCGCTAATAAACCCTGTATTAGGTGGCAGGTCAGATGGGCCCCCTGGTGGCTTAGACTGTATTGAATTCGAGTTACATGCAACAACTCCAAGCGATATTTCAATAAGACACTGTAACTTATTTCTGGAAAAGTAAGTTTTCATGCCAAGGTAACGTTTGAGTTCGGTGAATAGACTTTCCAAGTCATATATGGGAAGATAAATTGTATCGCGGTAGCAGCTCCCACCTAATGGCGTGAACTGATGTGCTCAAAAATATAAGCTGAAACGACAGGCCGTCAGGATTTCTCTTGAGGAAAATAAATCATCAGTCATTTGAGGGTAACGGTGCTCTGCTTTACTGCTCATGATTTATTTTCGCACAAATTTGCGTTAGGTAAATACCATTCGGAATGAAATTTTCAAATTCCATTTCATCTGCGGTGTTGAAACCCGGTGGTATTGATAGAGCAGAAGGACAATAGTTGGTCGAATTTATGTTCCCTCCATGATCATTATTGATGCTGACGATGTGATTTCGGTCGTTTATTTTGTCCATGAAATTTGCAGCAGGATGCAGTCAGTAGTTTGGCAGATGTGCCAGTTCAGCTAACCCTACTCCAACAACATCACCGTAATAGCTGTGTTATTCCATGTTTTCAGAAATGTATGGCAACAATACATATTCTCTTTCCTACAGTGCGTAATTAGAGTTCTCACTGTAGCACCGAAATGGGCTATTGACTGATTAGAACTAAAATCACTTATTTTCGCTTCATGCAGCCACGCCGTTGTCAGACGTGGCAAAAATTCTTTGCAGCTGTCGAACGCCTACGTTGACTGTATATTGGAAAGGGGATGCAGAAACTCAATACGCTAAAGTGCCATTTTCCACACTTGCGTTCCGGGTTGGAGTCCTCTGCGCGACGTACAATTTCCTAATTAATTTTTAATTACCTTTGGCAAGGGGCTTCACATTCACATGCCCATGGCTGGGCGAGATTAGTCGAGAAACGCATTACAAATCCGTTGCTCGTGAATGATAGGAAAGTAAGGTGCTGTGCAACGGTTATGCCAGAGCGAATGCGGCAAGATCGACAAACAGTGTGCCTAAACTTTGCACTTTACAATGCAATCGCATTCCCAACCTAGTAGTTGACAAACATTCAGCACAACAAGTAACCCGGAAATAAAAAAATATTATAAAGTAGTCCAATTTTAGATGTAGAGGGGTAATCACACAAAATTGCCTATTGTTAATCACAGAAAAGTAAACAGTAACTGGGTAGACTTTCAACAGTGTTTTACCAATTGAGACACGGGCATCAATATGCGCAGTTTCTTTGGCATATTTAGACTACTTTAATTGACAATACAGACAAATGTTTTCGCATTTGCAACATTATAATTTAGGAAATTGGTTTACTTACCGTCTGACCTATAAAATTTCCTGCAGGTATGGATTCCTCTGATTTTCCACAAATTTTCGTCAACCCAGGCGGCTACGTTACGACCATCCTGCGAGGGGGAATCGAAATCGACCTTACACTAAACAGTGGCATGCGAATGTTACATAACCGTGGGCGTTCGTTGGCAGTCAGCGATAGTGGTACCGAAAGCTGTATCATACATAGCGATATGCGGGCCATTCAAGCAGGTGGATTTGTGGATGCCACGTTCTACGGGAATAGAGCAGCGTGCTTCAGCGGCACGGTAATATTCCTGTGTTAATAATTAACTGGCGTGCACCTGTTGTTTCAGTGGATAGCGTTTGGGAGAATCGATTATCGCGAATCGTACCTATTGAATTCAGAGTGGCACATGGAGTCTCTTGCAAACATTCGTACACGCTGGCGTTTTCCGACTCTGCGTTACGACCTCACTCAAACCGTCTTCAATTCTCCCGCTACTGTCAGTCACTTGCTGCTGCAACAGTGTCGTCAGATGATCGACAACGGCAGGTCTGTGGCATCGGCCGATGGACGGTCGCATGAGATCGAAATTGGCGAGGTGCAGATCACTCAAGACTACGAACACAATGTCGTTTTAACCGTGAATAAGGCAAACGACGCGAGGCTCGAAATTCAGATCACAGAACAAACAGCTCAGCTAAAGACCAATAATATTGAAATGGGAGTAATGGTAGGTGGCGTTTATCATTTATTCCAACCCAGTTTCGTAGCCCTGGCATTTTAAGTTAAAATTTTGTATAAGCAACAAGTCATGCACCGGCACTTTCTTTCATTAAACACGTCATCTTTAATTGCTACGACCATACTCAGCTTTTCTTGGTGTGCTCATTATTTGACCACCGTCTGACTTATGATATTTTTTCACGTTTTTGATAAACTTGACATATAGGAAGATGTTAGGTTGTTTTCTCTGTTTTACTCTTTATATTCCTTAGATTGAGTACACTGCTGCCAATCGCTCTTGCATTGTGGAAGATAACATTGCTAACATAACAACGGTGCCACAATTGGCTTCATCATGTAAGTGTAAGGAAAACAAATATTCCATCTGCTACAAACTTTCCTTGCTTTTCTTTGCATTTTAAGGAGGTGATTTATTTGGCCAATTGTTAAACAACATTTATGCATATATGCAGAATAGTCCTTGAAAATAACGGCTTTCGGCTCAGCAGAGATAAGCCAGAATATATAACGGGCCACTTCAATGAGGAAAACGGAGTGCAAGTCAACAAGTCAATGAAAGTAACGGACAGTGGGCTGTTTCAAACCCAGAAATTGAAGTATTTTTATTCAAGCCTTCAATAGGAAAATCAGCAGTTGATTTAGAAACCTGCCGGAAAAAGCGGTGTTCTAATGGAAAGAGGTAAGCGGTGTACCGTGCGATAATAAGATGCCCATGAAACGAAAAGAAAGGTGTACAGAACGATAACAGCGGAGTGTTTGGCTACCGTGAAGAGACACGAGCAACACTTGAACTCGACAGAAATGCAAATAATCAGATAGATGTGTAGAAACAGGAAAAGCACCATATCTGGGACAGTTTCATCGGTGACAAGTTAGGTGTAGCATTACTTAAGGAAAAACTTATTGAAAGCTAACTCAGTTGGCTCGGAGGCGAGTACGTTGGTAAGATATTTCATGGACTGAATCTGCCAGGGAAGAAAGGAAGGGAAAGACCAAAGAAAACGTTGCGAGATGTCGTCAAGAGCAATACGAAACTACGAGGAGCGACCGAAGGATTAACCAAAGACCGAAAAATATGGAGGCACTTGACTCGGAAAGAGGATCCATGTTAAAGGTAACGCGTTGGACAAAGAATCACTATATATATAGCGGCGGACTGCGTTATGTGGGAGTGCGCCGTCCAAAATAACAATGAGGACTGATCGTTGGCCAGTGGCACAGTTTGAGATACCCAGCGATATTTCTAATGGACTTTGGACATACCGATGACGTCATGCCGCTGAGGGACTTCTCAAGTGGACTACTGAAAGCGTGCGCAACGCCGCCATGAGAGTTGAGCAACAAGTGAACGCCGAATCGACGAAATTATGAGAGCACCCGCCTTGACTGACAGTCCAACGATATTACGAAATGGTGTTACGACGAACGAGGTAAACGACTTCATTTATCTCAGAACTGTGTTCAACAATGACGATATTGATTTTGAAGTAAGTCGTCGATTGGAAAGTTGTATAACGTACGGGAGGATCAGGCTATGAGAACGGACACCCATTCTGGAAGCGGCCGTATTCGCGATCCTCATGCACTGTATCGAAACAACTGTCGTCCTGAAGCGTCATGGAGCTCGCCTAGATAGCTTCCCATAACGCGGTATGCAAATCACCCTCAATCATGACGTGTGATAATACTATCGGATGACCAACGAGCAGGTGCTGGAAACGACAGGTCAAGAAAACTATTAAATGAACTCGGATATCGGCGCCAGACTCGGTTTGATAAAACGGACTAAAAAGAGAACGGACATATATTCAAAATTTTCCGCCCTTGGGAACCACGCAATGACCGCAGATACGTGTGAAAGCAATACAAACCGTTGAAAGGTCCCGTTAAGTCAAACCTGCTTACGCAGACGAATATAACCTATGCTCAATAATCAGTAGTCAATGGCAGTTCAGCAATGAATTGACTATGTGCTTTCCAAGAAAGCTGTAGAATAGTTCTTGGGCGATTTTACAGTAATCTTGTCGATGATTCTTTTAGTCTAAGCAAGGGATTTTTCCTCATGACAGCAATTAAGATGATGCGAGAGAATAATAGCAAAAACTTGCCACTCGCCCGGCTAACCGATACCCTTTGTAATAAATGCTTTCTCTCATTTTCCATTCATCCAGACTGATCGTAATCTATCAGCTTTTATCGATAATACTGTTCTTTTTATCACAACATGAAGAGATAGGCAAAATGATCAACATGAAATTAGCAAACTATGAAATAACTCTCTCGATATTTTCTCGTGGCTGACTTCAGAGAGAGCAAAAATAATAAGTAATAATCTCGATTAACTACTTTTATGAATATCTGATAGTGATAGACTTTTGCCTAGCCAGAGTGGGATGCTAATCATAATAAATCAAATGCAGAAAGCTGACTGGGTGATTTGTTCGTGCATTGGTGTTCATACCGAAAAATGCATGAAAATGGTTCATGTATGCATATCGCAAACGATACTGGTCAGTCGGGTCCCAACGTTTCGGTCCATCTCTCAGGAGCCTTTTTTGGGATTGTTTTCATGCAGTTGGTTGCGCAGTCCGAAGTTGTTGTGATACCTGACCTGAAGCCTGGAACGGAAGCCATGCGTCTGGCTCATGCTGCTGCTTAAGTAGTTTAACGGTCACGAAGCTGATAAAGTTGATCCAATCCGCGCAAAATTCGTATCCTTTGTCTTGGTTGAGACTTTCGATGGATTGGATAAATACGACTTGTTTGATTGGTCTGTTCAGCCAGTTTCTTTCTCCAGTAATGCCTGTGTAGTTTAAACATTGGGGGACGTAGCAATTGTCTGCTGCATGTTGCACAATTCCTGAGGCCTTTTCACATAGTTTTTTGACTTTGCAAAGTTGGAGGGAGGATTTGTTTCCTTCCTCAATTCACTGTTGCCGCATGACGTTCGTGTTAGTCTACGGTCATCTATCTTCTCCAGTTTGATAGGTGGTGGTTTGTTGTTTGGGTGGCGGTATTTTCGGTGTCTCTTATGTAGTATTTCCCGCAGTCACAGGGTAGTTTTTAAATCCAAGCTAAAGAGTCGTCAATATGAAGGTTAGTTAATAAAGTATTAATTATCCGCTTGTTTAATACAATATTGCTATATACAAAAGCTTCAGTAAATTTAATACTTTATTAACTAACTCTGATAATAAAAACTCTTTAGGCTTAATTTATACATTACTTTGCAACTGCAGGAAATATTATAAAGAAGAAACCGGAAACGTCGTCATTCAAAAAACAAAAGAACTCCTGTCAAACTTGAAAAGGTGGACGATCGCAGACGAACTCGGATGACATGTGGCAACCAAGCATCCAGGAAGAAAACAGACTCCCAAGAAACTGGTTGAGCACATGAATCAAATAGGCCTTAATTATCCAATTCTGCGAAAATGTCAATGGGAACGAAGGATACCTTCACTGGATGGATTAGACATATCTCATCACGCTCGTTACTAAAACACTACTTAATCAACAGGATGAGCCTAAAGCCTTTCTTTCACTCCAGGCGTCACAACATCTGCGAACCACACAACCAACTGCTGAAACGAACTCGGATCACCCTGAAAAAGACTGGTGAGCAACGAGCCGAAACGTCGGTACTGATCAATCACACGCCTAACTCATTCGCTAACGCTGGGTATGAATAAACCGTTTTCATGCATTTTCAGTTTAAAATACAGGAAATATAACTAATAATCAACAATAATGCATCTCCTAAAAGTTCCCCACTTGAATTGAATATCAGTTTTCCAAATACTCTTACATGACTTTACGTAGTGGTCTCATTATCACTGGTCATGCCACAAGGATTATCTGATCTTACTTTAGGGACTTTTGTTTTTCAAATCCAAAATTGTCCACTTATCCCTACAACATCGTGAAAAGTGTATTCGTCTGCCTTCTGGTCTCCTTTGGTATTTAAAACTGAAGAAACCTGTTCATGTTTTTGCAGAACATACACATGAATCTCGTTCAGCTAATTTGAATACTTTCGAAGTTGGAATTTGTTGTCTTAATATTTTTCACTTAAACGGAATTGGGAACAAACCATTTACTAATTAATATGCGCTTTTCTATATCATTGAAGTATTAACTTTAAGTTAACTGAAGCATAATACACTGAAGTTAAAATTGGTACTTCGCTGTTATAACCAACGTCACGATATATTTCTCTTCTTTTAATAAAACGTTATTTTAAGGGAAATCATTCAGCGTTTATCTACTACGAAAATCAATATGGTTGGGTTGACGAACACAAAATGATTATGATAAATTGTAATTACAGAGCTGAGATGGATCAGTACGGTCGCACAGTATGTCCGGTTTAGCTCTAGAAAATGAGGCTGTTGTTTATTAACATATATGATATGATATATGTCGTTAATGCTATGATTCAACGGTAACTTGAAAGCTCGTTCTGCTAAGCGATATTGAAAGCTGTAAGAAAAACGTTTTATTTTGGCGTTATTTTTGATTAACTTTCAAAACTGCTGCAGGAAATGTTACATATTTTTTGAAACATTCGGCGTCTTCCCGGGGAAGCATTAACTGCCCAACAGCCGAGACGGCTTCATGACGAAAACTAGCAAATAAGTCGGGAAAGTCAAGCATGTTTTGCTTAAGTCATAAACGATCCATCCAAAAATAATAGGGACGGCATGGTGTGTAGGTGTGGTGATAACGCGTTTAGCGAACGACGACAGTTCGCCATGGCCAATAAGAATCAGCGTAAGGTGTGAAAGTAAATTTTTAAAATATTTTGAACTCAAAAAATTGAAGTACCTGAACATAAAAATCTGATTAAACCTAGCACAAATCTCAAATCCTTAAACAGCGAAGCTGTTTCAGTGTGTGAAGAAGAACAGTCGGTAATAGGCTTCAGGTTTCTGCAGCCGAAGAACGTAACTTTCAAAAAGCATGAGTCACGAATCATTTTTATGCTGATCAGATTTTAATGGGGCGAGTGTGCCGCATGATCGACCAGACGATCATCGA